GAGTAGGTTAGTCTACAAACGTCGCCTAAAGTAATTGATTTTACCCGGCAGAACGAAAGAAGGAAACTCCGCTTTTCAGTTGTCTTAGGCGATAGTTTTTTGACAAACAATGACCTTTCAGAGGTCAAATTGCTGTCAAGAATATGAATTGGCTGCTTTGCAGCAATAACATTTTGTGGGTATTTTGGTAAACGTGTATGAACACGTTTTTAACCCTGCGCCCCATGGTTATTATACATAAAATCCACATCACACTCTCCCTTAATATGTATCGCTTGCCTCTCTTAACAACAATTCAAATAGCTTCAGCTTCAAATAAATACTGTCGGGAACCAAGTAATCAAATTTTCAATGATTGAACACATTATATACATTATTACATAATCACTGGTGTTTAAAGGTAAACAGAATAGTTACAGATCTAAACTGAAAAACAAAGGATTTATTCTTTAACCTACTATTGGTTCCTTTTTTGTATTCAATCTAGTACTTTGCAGATGTATGTCATATATAAAATGACATTACTGTGATGCATCAAAAGATGTTTGGCATAATGCGCTATATAAGACCGACATTACCATTATATTAAATGGGTAAGGAAACAAGACCGAGTCAGAATTTAGCATTTTGGACTTCAGTTAAGTAAGTTAACTAACCTGAATTACGTCAGTTGTCTGAGCCACCTCCTCCAATGGCTTAGCTTTGTTTGGGCTCTCATTATCCTTGGCAATTGCTAACCTGTCTAGTGCTTGCTGTCGTCGTTTTTGCGTCCTTTCCATTTTCTCAAAAGCTTTCATGATGGCTTCCATTTTACGTTCTTCTCTAGTCAGCTTCCGATTACTTTCTGGTTGATTCTCTTCCGTTTCAACGTCTACCTCGGTCTGCATCTCTTCATCGTCTGTCATCTTTGCTGGAGTGATGTCGATTACTGAATTCTGAAGATTAATGCAAATAATTTACAATAAAAAGAAATAAAATCAAACTTCCTATCGACTTAAAAAATATTCAGTATATGTTGAGCTAAATTCTTGAAAAACAGAAATAATTTTTTAAAAACTGTTCTCTTTTATTTGCTGAAGTAAATTTTAAAAATACAGTATTTCTAAAGACATTGAAATACAATTTTAAGTGTTTCTGTCATTGACAAGATTGTATGTAATGATGTCATTGCCGCTAATCAAGTATGTAAAATCAAGAGTTTGTAATTGGGAGATGTTATTGTCGTATGAATGACATCACTTAGTGGGAGCTAGACGGGTTAGATGCAAGTTTTTAAAGCACACAAATCAGAAGTAATGTTGACCCATGAGCGAGATACCTACCTAGACAAACCGATATAAGGCAAGATCCTATTGGAACTTACCCACAAAGACTGATGGAATCGTCTAACCCAGGTGTAAATAAAGAATAAATATTATATAACCAGCTTAAAATTTCTTCGGCATTACCATTGTAACGTTGATGCATTATATACACCTAGATTAGATGATTTCATTATTTTTTCGTGGGAAGTTCTAAACAGGAATATCCCACTTCCCACTTATATCGGTTTATCCAGGTAATTATTCATTAAATAGATGAAAAATGTTTTTAAAAAAAACTTGTTAACTGCTGAAATTAATTTTCTTGTGAAGTTCATTATAAAAGTAATGCAGTAAACAATTTCAAGTCATTTCAATATTACTTGAACAAGCTGGGTTGACAGAGAGACTCTCAATGGTGAGACCGTCCTCCTGCGTGCAGACAAAGGAGCTGGATGGCTACCACATGAGTTTGAGTCCTCCTTCTTGATGTGGTTATTCTTATGATTCTTCTTCCTGTCGCCACTCTCATGGCGATGTTTGTGGTGCTTTTTTACAGCACAGTTCTTCTTGCCACAGGCACATTCTAAAGGAAAGGGACTGCAAGAAAAAAAGGACACATCATCATCCACTTAATTACTTTACTTTATTTTTAATATTATAGTGTATGATATGTATTGTAGTTAGTCCCATGGTACAGTATCTTATGAGGATACTATAAAGTGTAAAATTTTGAGTGGAGCTAAATAGCTTGGTATACAAGATGCTTGCTTTCCAATAAATCCTGGGTTTAATTCCTGTCATGGTAACAGCATTTTTTTCTCACGATCCAAGACAATTACTCCCTATGCCTCATAATGAGAATTACTCTATGCAGAGCTTAGTGTAATCTTCACTGTATGTCTGTTTTGTGAAGGGATTGCAAATTTTTTTAAATTTATTTATACACAGTATAATACAATTTTTACAAACAATAACACATGAGAATTGTACATTTAAAATAGGTTTAGAATGAAGTCTACGAACAGGGACATTAAGATAGAAAATTAAAAAAGTGATTAAGCTGGTCTATCGTTGGCCATTGTGCCTGAGGTTGTATCAACTTGATAGTTAAAGATGCACTGCCTGTGTTAAGCTAAATATTCTTTTAACAAGAACATTCAACAGTGTTAATAATACACCTTTTCAATAATTAAGTATTATTAGCCACCAGCCTTCACTTAAAAATAAACTAAAAATATTAACAGACTTACTGTGTCTGCAAATTGGCTGGCAAGTAAATTCGCTAACTAACCAGTTTTGAACTATTTCTCAATGTAAGTATATTATTACATCATTTTGTACATTATTTTATCATTTCACTTGATCCTCTATTATGAGAAATGTCCAATGTTATAACTGGGTACTTCAGATTTTGAAATGGACTGTTTGTCTTTTTGTGTAAATTTAAACTTAAGCAAACAGTAACCAGATGAAATTTTTTTTTTTTTGCTGTTAAGAAAAGTGTGAATGGGTATGTGTATATTTGTGGGTGAAGGGATTATTACAAAATTTTATTAGACAAAACAATCAGATATGAATGTTATTCAAATTTAGAGCAGTTCAATGCCTTTATAAAAAAAAAAAAAAAAAAACCCTCAGAAAAAAGGCAGTCTAAAGAGTGTATACTTATGTTACATTGTATGCTATTTCAATGAAATATAATGATTTTTTAGTCTATTTACAAAGCGTGAAAGTGAGAGCAAACATAGAACCGATTATATTTTTATGGTGATTACACTGAAAGCAACATTGACTACGCAACATGGCAACATATTGCTCAGTATAGAATCATTTTGTATTTAAAAAATGTATTGCCCAACAACAAATATATCCCGAGCAATAAGTGACTGCTGGTCATCCTTTGCTAAGCATGTTTCAAATCACACTGCAAATACTCATACATTGTGTATAGGGATTGTGATAATGACAGAATGTTTTTGTGTTGTTGTGCAGTGTTGTGCAAATCAGCCTGTCGACATACCACTCTTTGTGGCTGATATCAAATCCTATGGTTATTTCCGAGTCTTTGGGTATTTCTTTGCAGGAGACAAGAAATAGTCTAATCAAATCCCCTTCTGTGTTATGTAGAACCTAGAAAGAGGTACAAAAATAGGTGTTACTCTTTATTATTGCCTTTAACAGTGTCACTTTTGATAGTAGAGCTAAAAATACTAAATATGCAGGTAGCAAAGACAAAGTTAACATCCTGAACATTAGCAGGGAGGATACTTGTATTATGAATGATTATCACAACTTTGAAAAAATATTGTTAATATCTTACAAGGAAATAAATGCATGGTTAGAAGAAGGGAAAATATTGAACAATAAGTAATTGTATTCACTTACTTCTGTATTGGGAGAACATGACCTCCTTACATATCTTGCCTTGTTGCCATAAACTCTTGCATCAACACATATGTCGATATTACCAAAGCGTGAATAGAAGAGCGTATACCGATAAGAAGGACTAAAAAACAATATATGAAAATGATGAGCAATATTCTTGTGTGTGCATTTGTGATCTTTAAACAGATTTTTTTCTTCTACTCAATAAAGATTCTAAATTGTTTTCAATAGGAAAAAAATGGAAAAATCATGCAAAAAATACAATAAAAATATGAAAAATTTAATTCATATCAAAAATATTTAAGAATTCTTTACAAAAAAAAAAACAAAAACTTTTATTATCTTATGCATGACAGTGAGAAACTAACCTAAAGAAAGCAGTCTGTGTGAGAAGCTGCTTCTTAAGCATGACTTTGCCGCGATACTCAAGTATTGTTTGTTTCTCCATTATACGTTCCTTAGCAATAAGACCTTTCCTGCCAATACTGACTGCGCCAATGTCCGCAAACTGTGCCCGTAGTCTGCTGTGTGGAACTGTGCATTCGATATCTGGCTTAACAGCTGCAAGGAATTTCTGTAATTCAGCAGTGTATTCATTCTTTGATGCATCTTCATATTCATCACTGTGTTCACTATAACAAAATTACCGGAATCATTATGAGACAGTTATTGCACTAAAGTTACAGTTAGGCTAGAATTTCACTCGAACAGGTATGTTACAACCATAAAAATTTTTAAAATTAATTTTAGTGGGTTTAATAGTATATAATTCAATGACTATCGAGGTCAAATTTACTTTTTTCACAGTTGCCCAATTGGGCGAGTGACTTTTCAAATACACTCGCCCAAATAAGTTTTCACTAGCCAAACATTTTATTGATGGTGAGCTTCAGTGTTGGCGCCAGCAAGGTGCAGACAGGCATTTCACCCTTCCCCCAGACAGCCCCATACCCGTCATCTGATGCCACGATGAGGTCATCAGCCCAAAAATATTAATTTGCCTATCAAAATAATTTTGCACTTTAATTACCAACCCCTAATATTGTGGTCTAAAAAAGCAAAAATTAGGACATACTATGGCATAAAAACTCTTCTTGTGAACCATACCAGGGAATGTTATTCCTAGACCCTCACCAAGACTCTAGTTGGCACTTTGTTCAGACCCCCTGTCAGACATGAAGAAAAAACTCTGATGGGGCCTAGGCCTAAAATAGCCAGTTTCTATGCCTGCTGATCTCACTGTAGGCCCCCACACATATTTGTTTTTAATTTTATCTTCTTAAATACCTAGATTGTGGAATTTACTCCATCACAACTTCCATAGATACTTGTTTATTATGCAATGGTTTATTTAGGAGTCCGCGGCCGGCGCATTCGATCGACTACTACAATGTTTTCACCGGCTACTTTAATCATGGTGTACAAAAATTAATACAAAAACCACCAAAATAAATATCGCAACAGGCCTATAAAGAACCTTATTTACCTACATGAATTTAATTTGAAAATATAAGACAAAATAGTATGCACTCATTTCGATGTTCTTTTCTGTTAAAAGTTCGTTAAAATTTCTGCCAATTTTCAGACTCGATTTTTGACTTTCGTGAACTCGTGGCGTAAACAAAGTTTGAAGTTCGGCAGTTGCGCCTGGGTGAGTTCATCAAAGAAGCCACACCTCCAAATCATATTTTAGCCAATAAGATAAGAGAAATTTCTCCTCCACAACATGCGACATACAATACATCGCCCAAACTTTCCTTCCGTACACTGGGCTTCAGGGTTTTCTCACAGCGGAGAAGAAAAAAAGAGATCGTCATTTTAAAATTAATTTGTGTATGACTATGAACCTCTTATTTTCCTTTTATTTTTCTATGTTAAATATGATAAATATTAAAAGCTCGAACGTTTAACATCACAGTATTAGAATGTTTGTTTTTTACTAGCCCTCTTTGTGATAAAATAAATATTTCGGAAATGATAAATAAAAAAATTAAAAAACAACAACACCGACTCAAATTTGTTTACCCTCGGTGCTGAGGTTCGGAACTTCTTGAATGATCTTTACATTCACAATTTCATTGTCATCATAGATAGTACAATGATTAAAATGGCAAAGCAAGCCAAAATTGTCTCAATTCACATCACATGAGACGTGATTTTCTTACACATACAAAATCAGTATTTTTTTCCCAGTGTGGTATCCATTGTTTTTCGATATCTGCGTAAATTTGTTTGCTATCCTTAGATGTTTTCTTAACCTAGTTCAGCGACCTAGGACGATGCAATGCAGATCTAAGGCCTAGGCCTAAATGGGGAATCCCCATAAATTGCAACATGTTTGTGAAAAGTTACGTTCAGCACTATAAAAATTGTGTTTTTAATTATTTTGGTGGATTTTATTAAATGTGTATAAACTTAAAAGAATGTATTTCAATTATTGAATCAATATTCTGACCTTAAATTCAGATGTTGAGCTCAAAAAAATTTTTATCAATTCTAGGCCTATTCTAACCTACTCAACAAGTATACTGATCAGGGAGGTTCTGATCATCACTAAGAAGTTCAAATGGAAACTAATTTTCGTACTATGGCATACCACGATGTTTAGTCATCATCAATCAATGTGTTTGAATCAATATTAGGCCTACAGGAAAATAATTTGTTAATAAAACACATGTTTTGATAAACATTGTTCATTGTAGGATGCTTGAATACCATACAAAATTTAGGAATACTGTATCATATGAGTGAATACTGTATGTGTGTAAACTTGTCTCTTTCTTATATGTGCCTGGGATAGCCAGCTAAGTCCTGGTCCTAGCAGCTGAGATAAGCTGCAGGTTTATGGTGCCTAGCCTAGGCCTAGAACTCATGATATGATGTCTTCAGCTATTGTATGGTATTCCTCTCCTGAATAAAATTTAGGCCTTTTGCGATTCGCGAAAGATTCTGGTTTTACAGTATCTATGAAGAATATGTAAAAATATCAATTTTTTTACAGCTCAGTAGTGGATTCTGAAAACTCTGAAAAAAAAAATGATGTAGAGAAATGCCATCAAATGGGCTTAAAAAACTCTAAAACCCTGGAGCACAAGGGGGCTTTGGCCCCTTGACCCCCCACCAGGCCTCTGCCCCTAAACCCCGATGGGGACCTAGGTGGCCGCCCTACTCTCCTGTTACTTTCAAATTTCACCTGCTACTCAAGTTCACAAAAAACCCCCTGTTATGTATATTTATCATTCAATAAAACAATCAATCACTATGTTGACTTTTAAAGCTGAAAACAATGATTAAAAGAGAAGTAAAATTTGTCGCGTGCACATTGGAAAATCACTTGAGAATTACATAGTATAGTATTGGTAGGATTTTTCACTCAGCAATGTGGGCGCAATTGGGGATTCAAAATAACTTTCCAAATTTTTATTTCACTCGCATTGGCGAGCGTTAGTTTTGCACAATGAACTGTTGGTGATGCATGTTTCATTTTAATGTACTACAATTTGACAGTTTTATTAGCACAAATAAAAGTAATTATTGTCCGTAAATATGTATACCTTTGAATCCATGCTACTTGAGCATCTTCGTCAAAGAGGTTCAGTTCCGAGGACAATGACCTTGTTCTTGACTTCTTATCATGTTTTTTCTGATGGGAAAAACACAAACAAATTTTAAGGAGGACACTATATTCCATTTAAAATAATAAAAATATTTTAAAATCATTAACTGATACAGGCCCCAAAAATGTAATAGATCTGATCAATTTTTAAAAATTAAATGCTGTACTCTTCTTCTTCTTCAGGCTTTATTTCCACTTCTTTATTCCCCACTGTTTTCATGTCCTCCTTGACACACGTCACTCCACCTCGGTTTTAGTTACTTGCTTGGTGTACTTGGTAGTAGATACTCTTGAAGCGTCTTGCTTATGAGCCCCTCGTGCATGGGCATTAAAACTCGTAATATGGATTGTAGAGTTTCGGGTGATTTTTTTGAGCTTTTGGACTCCCTCCCTTTCTGGTTCTGATACTTAATTTCATAACACAGTTTCCCACATATGACTGCTCCCTACAGTACGTTTGACGTTTCCCCACCTGGATCCTTTTTCGTACCTTCTCCTCTGAACCTCCATACTCTTGGACGGTCGAGCCCAAATATTTAAAGTCAGTGGCTTTTGCGACAGCATCCCTTGCAACACCACATCAGTTGCTCCTCCTCCCATATACACAGATACTTTGTCTGTTTCCTGCTCACCTTCATACCTCTGTCCTCCAAACAGCTTCTACACTGTTCCAAGCTCTCTTCTACTTCACCTTTCGTCTCTGCACGCAGGGCGACATCATATGCAAACATCTTTTCCCATGGTGTCTCTTTTCTCACTCAATTTGCTAGGTAGCCCATGACAATTGAGAAGAATAGTGCATTGAGTGCTGAACCCTGGTGCACACCAACAGTGATGCTTACCCCGGTATTCTTAAAACGAACTTTGACTAGACTGCGACTAAATCAAACGAACCTCGACTAAAATGGTACCTCCGCAGGCCGATTTTTTAGTCAGCATAGGGTCAGACTAAATCGCCGACTTGAAATATTAAATATTTACCCTATTAAAAATGTGCGTTTTATAACTCAATAGAGTGAAGAGAATAAAAGATCTTGAATATCTCCCTTGATATTCTTGTAAATACTGTACTATACAATCATTATGCTTGTTTTCAATTACTAGTTTAATTATTCATTGTTTTAGAAGCTTGAATCATGAATATACAGTATCCTTGTGCTAACATTTGTATCAAAAACATGTAGTAATGGATGATTCTCTTAACGTCACAATATTATTATGGCATTGTGTAAACCGTTAAAAATCACATTCTGAACTTACTGTAAAACCAGAAACTTTCGCGAATTGATAATTTTGGCCGTTTTCGCGAAATTAAATTTTCGCGAATCACAAAAGGCCTTGAAATCCTGACAATTCTTGCTGTTTATTGTTCATTATCATCTTTAAAAAAGTTGAAATAAATTTTTGATGGAATTCAGTGATTTATAATGAGCAAAATCTCATTTCTGAAACTGATTCGACGTTCAAGTCGAAACAATAACCTGAAAATTATTCGCGGCATAAAATTTTCACGAAAGTTTAATGTGCACAAAATTTCCTGGTTTTACAGTAGTATGCTATAGAGCATGTCATCCCAGTATACTCTCTATCTGGTGTCAGCCAATTGCCAATCATTTTGAATAATTTTGTTTCTGGATCATTATATTTTCAAAAAATTCAACTTTTTAATATTTATCCTATTTTCCATTTTATCAAATTTGTTGTTCTCTTTTGTAGAAGTCACACCCACATTTACTTCAAACAACATTTCTTTTACTTTCCCTTTCACAATAAATATGACACAGTACTATTATTATTATTATTATTATTATTATTATTACACTAATATCAGCAGCAACAGCAACAACAACAATAATGTGATAATGGTAACAATTTATTCCTATTAAGACACAATAATAATTATTGTTTTTTTTTAATTAGAATTGGCTAAACATCACTAAAAAATAATATCAATGTTATTTTACCTTCTTTTTCTTGTGACTTCTTTCAGAGTGTTCACGTTTTCGTTTCTTTTTCTTTGATTTCTTGTTCTTGTGATGTGTGGTTAGCGTAAGACTTGTAGGAGAATTGGAGATAGCAGTGTACGTTGTTGGATTAACAGCGGTACTTTCCTCACTATCTGTACTACTTGAATCTTCTGACGAAAATCAACAAAATCTTACAAATTTAACATAATGTATAATACTATACTATATCTTACGGCAAAATGGGCAATAAATAATTATATACCGCATACATAGATTCTAGGCATCTGATTGGTTAAGAAGCGGGCAACAGAAAGTACTTTTTTGCCGACACGCGATGTGCAATCACTAGGCCATGTTGCTATGTAATTTATAGCATGCTCGAACAGTAAAGGAGACGTGACCTCTACAACGCTGTGAGAGATTGGCCCTAGAAAGTGGCAGAATTGTTTACAGAGAAGTTGTAAATGTAATATTTTAGTCATAACTTTGGCAACAGTAAGTCAACTCCATTTTAAATCTTATAATGTGGAGAATATGAATATCAAAAATTCGAATTCCTTGTTTTGGTCACTGCTGCTGGTTTTGGCATGGCAAGTCTTGTCATCGTCGTCATCATCATCATCATTATTATAAGTACTACTGTAATAATATAATCATTATTATAATTACTATTAAAAGTCAGTGGTGACGTCATAACTTTCATTTGCAATGATTTTTCCTATTTCCAGCTGATCATCAAATTTGATACAGTGCTTCCAATTTTTTGTGTCTTGTTTGCTAAAACCTCAAAGCTGGGAGAATTTTACTTACATTACATCGCGATGGGATATTTTTTTACTAGGCCAAGCTATGAACACACACGGCGAACCTAACAAATCTCGCTCTATGGCGCTGGTTAACACGAATGTAGCCTAGACCTTCCTAGGCAAGGCCTACAAAGGCATAATGGTTGAGATAACAAGGTGATTCACTTATAAACGAACTGAAACGAGAGCATCAATGATGCAATAGCCCACTTGACAATAGCTGGCAATGTTATATACATATACATATATATATATATATATATATATATATATATATATATATACATATACATACACACATACATACATATATATAAATATATATACATATACACCCATACATACATAATATACATAATATATACATACATATACATATATACATAAATATATACATACATTATATATACATACATACATACATATACATACATATATATATATATATATATACACATACATATATAAATACATATACAGTATATATATAAATATATATATGTATACATATGCATATATAAATACATATACAGTATATATATATACATATGCATATATATACATACATATATATATGAGTATAATCCATCGTTACGGACGGACACTTTTTCAAAACTTTCAATTTAAATTCTCCAAAAACATTTCATGCCACTCTTAGCTGGTTCATTATATGTTTCATATGCAAGAATAGTATACACTTTATCTTATAAAAAAAATTTGTGCGGATTGATATTGTTACTAAAAATAGAACAGCGAAAATGTGAGCGTTACGGACGGACAACATAGAATTCGCTGTTTCTAATTTTTACAACTTAGCACACATTTCTATCTAGGGAAGCGAGAGCTGACAAAAATTTTTCATTGCTAAATTAAGTTATTTTACTTGTCCATTAATGAGACTTGGTTTGGTTACTAATTAATTCCTTGTCTTTGAGTTATTAACGAAAAGAAAATGTTACGGACAGACATTTTTCTTGTGTTACAGACGGACACTTTTGCAACAAACATCCTAATGATAAATATTAATGAAAAAATTTGATTTTTAAAATGATAATTGACTTTTCTTAAATTTAGGATTATAACAGCCTCTCTAATGATGGTTGTAAAATGTTTTATGTTCAAGCAATTGAACAGTACATAAACTGACATTCGTCATAACCTACAGTAGGCCCTATATAATTGCAATAATTTCAGAAAAAATAAGTTATTAATCTAAATAATATCTTGAATTAATTAAACTTAAAATTTTTCATAATAATTTGATTAAATTGCTACCTTTGAAAAATGATATTGGGATGTAATAATTGATCAATTGTTAAATTGAAAGTGTAGTTTGTGACCCATGGTAAATTTAACATACACTGCCTAACCGTCCGTAACACAGATTTATCTGTCTGTAACAACATTTTAATTAGTAGCTTTAATTGAAATTTTATGTAAAAAACAATTGTACCATACATCTACATTTATAAATGTCCAAAGAGTTCAGTATGAATCGTAAAAATGTTGTAAATTTGAAGCATATGAAAGAACATTACACCCAAGTGTGTTACGGATGGACATTTACCCTGAGGTTACATTACTAAATGAATATTTCCAACAATTTACTGATAGATTTTATGAGAAAAAAATTGCTAAACATAAACATCTTCAGTTTAATTCATTTCAACATTGTTTAACATAAATTGGCCAATCAAAATGTATTTCATGTGGCATGTCCGTCCGTAACATGGCCGTCCGTAACAACATTTGTTACGGACGGACACATTTTTAATTAAATGTGTAATTAAAATTTTAACTTTAACAAAATTTTTATAAAGTTATTTTGTAATCATCAATGTAGTAGAGATAAGTCAATATGTTTTTTTAATTGTAATCTATTGTATAGAAGCATGAAAAAACATTTAAGCTAATTTGCGTTACGGACGGACGTCTGAATTTTGGACTACAGCTAATTAGGTATTTTCACTAATTACCAGCAATATTTACTAATTTTTCATTCATTAAGACATGTTTCACCCTTACACTTACCAATAATCAAAGAATCTGAAAGATTTAAGGTTTTTTATATAAAAGATATATTCTTCTATTAAAATGTCAGTCCGTAATATTCATATTATATACCCCCTATATAAAAAGTGGTATGATCCTAGAATGCGGAGTTAAAATTTCATGATTAATAAGTTTAAGTCAAAAATTATTTTGGACATTAATGCAACAACTAAATGGATTATACTCATATATACATACATATACATACATATGCAGACATATGCATACATACACATATACACACACATATATATACTGGTATTTGCCAACTTTTGTAATCAGTTACGCTGATGAAGTCCTGTCTCTTAGAGTGCTCAATACCACTAAGGGTAGAGCTTAATAAATCAAACTACAAAAGTGTTTATTCTCAGACTACAAATCTGTTTCATATGGCCAGCAGGGCTGGCCACACTCGTCAGGTCGAACTACAAAACATGAATGGCCTTCATTCATAAAAATGATAACATAATATATAAGCCTAATGCACATAAGTGCATTAGGCTTATATATTATCTTATAATTTTTATTGCCATTGTATTTATCTGTATCATGGGCTATCGCTTCCACTTCCCAATATCACAGTACTTTGTTTTACTTGTTATCTCGCTCCCATTATATATCATTATCCCCATGTCTCCCATATTGTTTATCTCATTTAATCACCCTCCTCTATTTATTGCCGAATGTTTATTGTTTTACACTGGATCTGGTATTTGCCAACTTTTGTAATCAGTTACGCTAATGAAGTCTTGAGGACAAGACGAAATATTCGTTTCCTGAATAAATTATATTGTGTTCTACTGTCTAACTCAACGTTTCCGCATCATTATTTTCTGTCTTATTATTTGAACACATGTGGACTAATATGACTATACATATATACATATATATACTGTATATACTGTATATATATATATATATGTGTGTGTGTCTATGACACCTGCACAGTATTAACCCTCTAGATACCGTCTTCGACTGTAGTCGAAATTGACCTCAAACCGAGAATTCTCATTTTCGACTGCAGTCGAAATTTAGTGACTAAAAAATAGGTGGTTTTCAAATCGCTCCTGTTTTTATTTTAGCTCCAATACGTCAGAAATTTTGAACACGCATGCGTGAAGCTTTTGTCTTTCGAAATCTGTGAAGAACTCACATGCGCTTATATAAAAATTTTTAGAAATATCAATTTGAAATCGTTATTAATTTCAAAAAATTTTCGAAATGGCCGCACCAGATGTGTACACAGCTGAGGAAGCGATTGACCTGATTTTGATTCAGACAGTGATGAAGGTGAAGTTTTAGATGTGCTAGACTTAGACGTGCCTGTTAGCGATGATGACGGTGGGGCTTCAAGCAGTTCTGACGGCGGAGATGTTCTTGATGAAGATGAGTCTAGCCTAGAAATGTTAGGGTGGTCGACGCTTTTGAATGGAAAGATCGTGCTTATAGTTATGGATGGTTGGGTAAATAAATTATATAACTGTGTGGAATAGGAATGTTTTATATTTGTTTTTAATTTTTTTGGCTATAATTTATTTTTTTTTCGGTTTTTGCTGACGATTTATATGTAGCATTTTTTATTCTATAAGCTTTCTTTGTTTTTAGAAACATTTTTCTGTATAATTTACAGAAAGTTCCCAAAATTCCACCAGAATGATGTATACTAAAAAACGCAAAAAACCTTGTTACACTGCAAAAGAATCCAGTATTCAAGGGTTTGCACTAAGAATCCGGTATCCAGAGGGTTAAGTAGTATGAATACTTGCCCAATATGTTTTTAAATATATACATTACTAGAAATAATATATGTGATGTTTGTGGAGTGTCTGTTTACTCATCGGTATTCCACATAATAGAGGGCGGTGTCCAAGGCTACGACATTACAGTATACTATCACATTACTAGATTATAGGCAATGTTTTAATAATTTAATTTTAAATAAATGGAGGAGGTACATGGAACACGCTGTGAAATCTAAACAAAATATCTCATTACGGGGCTATCCATTGACTGGTTATACCATGGTTGGAATGGAATGTAATCCATTGAAAACGAAAGGCACTTTTAATCATGCCTCATCTGTCAATAGGTACACGAACGATCTTCATCATTACCATATGGACAACGACGTCTACAAGTATGTCAGTAGCCATCCCATGGTAAATGGCGAAAAAAGAAATCCACTCCGCCACCATTAAATACGACTGTCGGCCTACATTTTATGAAATAACATCTGATCTCATATATTACCTAGGCCTATGTGGTTGGCTACGGATAGCCTATAGCTGAAAAGCTACCGTCTCAATAGAACAAAAATTCCTTGTGGGACCTTGCTATAGTATCATGTATCTAACGGCAACGTCCTCGTCATCAACCACACCACAGTGCGGCAACACGAAATGTGCAGTACATACACTCCTCGCTACTGACTGATTTGAATGTGTGGTTTAATACACATAAAAGCAACTTGTAGCCTACATTTATTTCCTGTAGTATCTGATCTAAACTAGGACATAGGCCTACACACACGTACGTACCCAGCCAGCCTATTCGTCTTCGTCAGGCCAGCCTGCATTACAGTACATTGACACGAAATGTGCTGCACACATACACTCATCGCTACTAATTTGAATATTATGTGGTTTAATACACATAAAAGCAACTTGTAGCCTACATTTCCTGTTATCTGATCTATTACACACACATACTACCCAGCCAGCTTATAGTTCGTCTTCCTCTGGCTCTAGGCCAGCCTGCATTACAGTACATTGTTTATCTCTCAGAGGAGAGACCACCCACCCTTGCAAGCACCACAAAACGGCTCATTCTTTGCTACCAACTAGACTCGTGCAGACGCATTTATTAGCCGCAAAGGTTACCATTCCAGGCTGTGATTGGTTAATAAACACAATGTGGAATATACAGCCGATTTGTAATCTGATCAATGACGAACACGCTTTCATAGGAAACCCACCTTAGTGTTAAGAGGTATGATATAAAAACATACTTTTTCACATATTTCCAACAATATTTTCGCAAAAACTCTTCATACTTTAAATTCCCCAGGCCTTATCTAACATGTTATTGCAAGATCGGCCTAATCGCGTCACAAACGAAGGAAGGGATAGAAAAACAAATGACTTCAAAATTCGCTCAGAATCATCATATAAGCCCTCTCTGTCAGAGAGTGGGCTAAAAAGTAAGGCAGCACTGAAATAATTTATAATAATGCTGACATTTTAATCTATAACAAATGTCTACCAGGAGGTTAGGCCTTCCTAATAACCCCTATAAGCTTCATTAATCACAATCAATTTATCCATTTTCTTCATATCGCAAAGAGGTGTGCCTAGAGTGTCAGTGCGCATACTAACAAATCATTTTAATCTGCGCAGCTAATGCACACGCATAGTAATCACTAAGCAACCAGAGACCGTCAACAGTTTGACTTATGAATATATAGCAACCTCTCTATAACCAGCAGTTTGATTAAGACCATATAAAAGGTGATGGACGTCACAACTGACTTATAAAACAATTATAGTCAAGTCATTTTCTACACTATAACAAACAGAAGACTTAGGAGCCATTATTTCTTGAAAAAATAATGGCAATTTTTTCAGGAAATAAAGGCTTCTTCAGCTTCTATTCCCTATGTACTCAAAACCTGACTAATTGCTTAATAAAATTATTTTTATTTATATTGTAAATATCTTGTTATAATAAACGTTGTGGCATTTAATATCATTACTTAGGAAATTGAAATTGTATTTTCATGTTTTCTTCCTTCCTTCCTCTAAAGTCCTTACGAACAGGTTAGGTAGGATTTTACTTTATGTTGATATTAATACCTCCATTGATTATATTTTAAGTTCTTTTGATTCGAGAAAACTCAATGTACAGTAAGATGGAATGAACAGTTAACTCTTTTGACATTTAAATGTTTAAAAGGGCATGCCCCTCCATACCTAACATCCAAATTTATTTTTAATCATGATATACATTCAAAATGCACACGTAGCTAAACGCATGATGATTTAATTGTACCACCTTGGAATATCTGCCAAGGTAAAAGAACTTTCTTGTATCGTGCATCAAAAAATTAGAATGAACTTCTAAACGAAACGAAAACTAGCTTTAAAGAAATGACCTTAGTTTCATTCCAACATTCTATTAATTTATAAGTTTTACATTGAATCTTCTTTTGACTTTATTTTGTATTTATCTTCTTTCTATTTCATGGTTTGTTTGTAACTGTACCACTTTTGAAAAACAGTACTCAAGTACTGTAAGTGCATGCAGTCTAAAGAAAGAATAAATAAATAAATACACATACATAAAATCTATGATGAACTTTTTTCCAAATCCAGGGTAACATACACTTTTTCAGGTATATCTTGTGTCAACTATGGTTTTAGCCAAAGTTTATTAAAATGCTGTTGTCTTAATACTGTAGCATATTTCCACAAAGATGTCTATCAATTTTCAATAATTTTTTTAGTCAGAAGAAATGTGCTGTATAATTAAAAAAATAATATTAATAAAAAAAACTTGAATGTAATAAACACATGAAAATTATATATTACCCGACATATTTTCACGCTTTTTTGTTTGTAAAGCTACAGCTTTCTGAACATCAACTGATCGTGGTTCACACTTTTCGCAGAAATAGCGTTCAGGGATGTTGTTCCTGTCCAACCCCATGCATTCCACGTGTTGCCATGATAGGCACTGGTCACAGCTGATCATATAACCATCATCATGTTCAAAATTACTGCCAAAATGAAGAATGCATTCACAATTGGTAATATACGGAAGTACAAAAACTGCAATTAAAACAATGTTAACTAAATGCATTGCTAAATGGTGACATTGATAAAGCATAGAAGTACGTAACAAGAGATAGTGTGGAAAAAGTAGACAAAAACATCATTACAGAAAATGAGACAAACGTAAATTTACTCTTTATTACAAGAAGCATATTATTATGTTTTTTATTTTTCCAATGACTTAGGTGTACTGTACTTAATCCAGAGGTGACGGAACTAGGGGGTGCTGTGTTATGGAGAGTAATGTGTGACCGGAAATGGTCTGCATCAGTTGGTTGTTACCATGCGCCAGCGATGTTGCAGTATATAGTACAGCAAGATGAAACTATTATGTAGGCCAAATGAATAAAGTTCGGAGTTTCTCGGGTAGTGAAATGATTATTGTTCATTTTAAGCGCTAGCTAAATTCACAAGTGTAAGCTAAATTATGGTGATTAATTTAATTAGCGAAGATATGGAGACAATTATTGCGAAGTTCCCTCTTTCCAAGAGGGGATGCAAATGCTTTGTGAAAATGATTACACCGCGGTACTCATTTTCACAAAGAAATACACACAACTGGTTAGCTAACAATACGCCAATACATGAACACCTGGGAAGGAAGGTTCAATCACGTTGTTGCCCAGCAAACGTCTGACGTCTGTACAGTATTGGGGGAGGGGGCGCTACTGATGTACTGTGTAGCGGATGACGATGAGGCATACATAATAAGACTAGGGCTAGGCCTAGACCTAATTAGACAGTGCAATAATATGTGATAGAAAGTACACTTTCGAAAGAAATGAATTTAAATTAAATTAAAAAAAACAAAAACAAATAACTAAGAATAATTCAGTACCTTGTACGTATTATACAATGCTAACAATGCGGCTCTTGTATCCCTAGCTAGGACAAGGCATCCATGTCCAAAGCAGTGGTGTTTGTTTATCTATGAAAAAAGCACGCCGGGATAGTTTGCCTTACGAGGAAAAGGTGACGTAATCTAGCTTATGACGTATGCATGCTAAATATATTGTGAATGTGACGTCATCAAAAAATGAATATTTTCTATTATAACCAAAATATTAACAACTACAAGGTTTCTGGGCGTAAATTCCCTTAATACGAATTAAGGGTTGCACAATCTCCTTGCCATACAAATTACAGCTCCCACTGACGTCTCAGTTGAGAAATACGGGTAGCTGAAGTTTTTCTCGCATATCTGACCACGAAACCATATCCAAATTTCACGTTCCTCTTTTGACCCTGATTTGTGCTTCCCACTCACCGCTAAGGACGGCATTCCGGGAACTCTGCGTCAAGTGTGACAATTGCAATTATTGGATCATCTATCACTGCATCCCACCAACACAAGTCATATCAAATTCTATACGGTACATAAAGATATAGGCCTCCGAGGCTAGCCACTTCATTTTTTTTAATAGTTTTTGATCAGCCTTGCCTCCAGTCCAAATGTATTTAGTACGTTTAACACACACAAGCTGCTTCAAAATATGTTCTCTGCAACTTGGAGTGTAGACTTGCCACAAGTATCCAATTTATTGATTTTTCGTAGTATTAATAATAATAATAGTGTAGTTTTATTTAACCATCTAATGTAAGATGCTCAGGGCGCTTGAAATGTGGACTAGGAACTCGACCAATGACTTTCTTCGCCCCTAAGGGTCCCTTCGTGTCTGTGCTATCCGGTAACCCGGTACCAGCAACTCTCGTCATCCACCACAGGTGCTGTCTGTTCCAGTACACCGGGGTAACCCCCTACTCGTCTCGAAGGATATACTGGGTTCTTTATAGTGCACACGAGCCATTGTATACGTTAAAAGAGTGAGTCAAATCGATTGCAGACCGCTGGCCGTGACAAGCATGACGTAAATTTTAGGATGCCGTATTTGGCAATAGGGTGAATGTTATGACGGAAGGTCAACCAATCAAACGGTTCTCGTTTTGGTGTCACGAATGTAGAGAGGAGTCAGGAAGTTGGGACATGGCTATGTGCAGGTGTGCGGAATATTGTGGTATTGTTAATGGAGGAAAAGAAAACACCAACCGAAATGGCAAAAAAAAGCTGTATTCCAGAGAATTTTTTGTGTTGCGCACAAGATTGAGCATGTGGACAAGCTGCAGTCTAGAAAGTAGTTGTTTTGCGAACCATCTTAGGTTCACGCGAGGCTCCACCAGTAGGCCTAGGCCGATGGAAAAGCTGTCATGCTGTCGCAACTGCGACACAAATTGAAGACAATGGATACCTGGATAAGCTACGGGAGTGGTCGCGGGTACGTTTACATATTTTTAAAAACAAGTGAATGTCACCAAAAAGAGAAGCAGCCCGCCTGTATTCCCAAGAGGAAAGAGAAATTTGATTAGCGCAGTAGGCGAAACATGAACTAACCCCATACTGCTGGTGTAGTGTGGACAGGACGAGCCGGGCCTATGACTCGTCTCTAGATAAAATGATGATGGTACCAACGAGGCCGGTAGTAATGTAAAGGTGCATAAGTCTTTAAATTACTTATTAGAATTCTGTGTCTATCTTTCATTATTGTTAAAATAATATAGTGAAACACAGTAAGATAAAATGTAAACCATAAAACTACTTTTTTTAGGAGGGCTATAGTTTGTTTAAAGCACATGAATTTAGAAAAATACAAGATATCATTTTTTTTTAGTAATTTTAAAAATACACCTTAATTTAAAAATCAAATAAACAGCCCCATCCCTCCCCCCTTCGGTCTGGCTCTGTTTTGAGTGATTGTGAATGTTGTTGTTAATGTAACTGCTTGATAAGTAATAGGGTAATTCCGTGTCAAATCAACCAGAGGTCCCAGATCGACCGTCTCCGATTTTTATGAAACTTCTTAAAAATGATCCACTATGTGAAAAATCAACATACACAAAAGATTAGCCCTACTGGATATGTAGTTTCCGAGATATTGGCGCCCCAAAAAAGGGGCGTGGCTTTTCAAGATGCGCAAATGCAATTTCCTCCAACTTTGGAAGCTTATAACTCGGGATTGGTAATAGCTATCAAGGTCAAACTTGCTATTCTAACTTATATTCCCCCATATGGCATCAGATTAACTGTTATCCCTTCTCTTTTGAAGTTATCTGCACTCAAAATAGCCACTTTGTTTAACGACGCAATTTTTTTGTGATTTTCAATGTCACCCTGTGTCCATATGAGTGAGTATATACATCTTAAATTACAGATATATTATCTATGGGTAGTTGTCTCTAGCCACAAGCAAGCACAGGTGGATCAAATGAATTAAAATGGAATGGCGTCCATTCAAAGTTGGGACCAGTCCTAAAAAAGTGAAAAAAGCCTATGTTTCCCATTAACGGTTCGTCAGGTGGACAGTTAAAATCTTTTCTTAAATTTACACCAGTTAACCAGATATATTAGATCTACTTATACACCAAATTTCAGCTTTGGTACTCAGCTCCTTCATGGTTAGATACTATGTTGAAAACTACACATATTGTAACATAATCGGAAATATTTTTTAAGAGTTGGGTAATTCCATGATATGGGATCATAGATTTTTAAAATTTTTTATACTGACAGTTATTCATGTGAATTGAAAAACCTGAAATTTTTAGACTCCAATTCCTGTTTGTTTTCCCGTAGCGGTAGTTTGATGTAAAAGGGGGCGTGGCACAAATTAGTGCACTGTGAAATTAACTTTCGTATACTAATATCTTTGGAAGTATAGCGCCTATAAGCTTCAGATTTTGTGGTGTAGGACATCTTTTGCTACTGATTCCAAATCTGCAATCAGAAAAGTTGTAGCATGTACCATTGTGGAATAGCAATGGTCTAAAAATGGGACAAAAACCTGCCTGGACAAACTTTTTGCATTTTTGGAGGGCTGTATCTGGGCCAAATTTTAAGTTTAGTTAAGTTTATTACTGTGTATATAAGAAGTAATACTGGTGGGTTAGGATTCCTAAAAATTTGGAGATTAAAAAAGATTTACTTTTTGAGTTACGGCTACCTGAACAATGGTCCAGACACATATTTTAACATAATCGGAAATAACGAAAGTTGCTAAAACTTGGGTTATTCTATGCCATGGGTCTTAGATTTTTTGCACACTGACAGATATTCATGTGAATTGAAAAATCTGGAATTTTGAGACTCCAATTCCTGTTAATTTTCCCGTAGCAGCAGCACAAAATAGTCCGCTGCAAACTTAACTTGGATTTTTCATATCCCTATATCTTCGGAAGTTCAACACCTATAACCTACAGATTTTGTGGTGTAGAACAACTTTTACTGCTGATTCCAAATCTGCAATCAGAAAAGTTGTAGCATGTACCAATTTAGAAAAGCAATGGTCTAAAAATGGACAAAAACCTGTCTCATACAGTTTTATCATACAGTACTGTTGCAGAAATTGTTGATAATTTTGTGATTAAAATTGATATTGTTGTTTAGGTCTATTTATTTAATTGTTTTGCAGGAATGGATATTCTGTAGTCCAGCTGGATGATCCCCACTGACGTCCGTCAATTAACAGAGGATATTTCCTCAGCCCTTTTGCTTGATTCGATGTTGAGTTATGAAACTTGAGACACTTAGCATCTGATGGAGAAGCACAAACTCCCGTAGACTAAACCCAGTGCATTTCGATATTAATTTACCGAAATATACTTACGATAACGAACAGTTAAATACAGTATGATCCTTCCTGTATTCTTTCGCATTGACCCTTAAAATGACTGGTAATTAATATAGTAAATTGTTTGTTAATTAGTAAAAACTATTTTTTTTCCTGAAGCAGTTAATAATATAGAGGTAAAACACTGAAAGATCAACAAATAAAGTTTGAAATGTGAAATCATTGTGGTTTGGATCATTTTTTTGAGTTTCGTACCATGACAGTTACAATGTATTTTAATCCAAATACATGCAACTAAATCGTTACCTGCAATGTGCCTCTTTATTTTTGCAAATTAAACAGAATTATTAATTTATTAAAAAATAAATCTGATAGCTATGGAGATCAGAAAAATTACAAGAATTGCACATTTTCTCCCTTTTGTCTATTTGTTTTATTTATGGCCCAACAGAATGCTTTAAATTTTGTTTGTAAATTTGGAGTTGCATATTACCCACTGTAACTTAGAAATATTACAAGAAAAAAATTGATACTAAAGGGTGAAATGTGTCGTGAAGTTGGTTACTTTCTATGTGGCACACTTCTGTTGTGAAGGTGCGTCTAAATATTACCTCCATGGTTGGACGAATTGTGATTAGGGGCCTAGCCCTCTCCGCGGTGCACAAGCCGAGCTGACCTGAATCATCATTAGCTGGGCCGAGGTGAAGCATAATTAGCATGTTTAATTTATGCCGCGGTAATTAGCCAATCAGAAATCAAAGTTTTTAAATACGTCATACACCACGAAATCCACTGCACTCGAAATCCTCACTGTTTTCCCAGTCCCTAATCCAAGAAAAAGTATACTATCGAACGCCATGCAAATAAGTAATATGGAACGCCATTGGTGCCAAAATCGATTTTATTCTTAAGCATTTTAACTGATTAAGACAAAGTTTAGGGACTGGAACCCAGTCTACTTGGAGTAGAGTTGAGTAGCTTAGCGGTTACAATGCTTGGCTTCTAATTTTAAGGTCCTGAGTTCAATTCCTGTCACAGCATGACTTTTTCTCAAGACTCCACTCCCTAAGGGTCCTTCACAATTATCAACATTTTCAAAAGTGTACAAAACGTACGTTTGAGGGGAGGGGGGTAAACCCTGGTGTACGCTTTTTAAAAAGTAATAAAATGTCGCTCAAAAATCGTCACAACCACGAAAAACTGCTGAAATACACAATATAGACGATTGTCTAAAATATCCTATAAAGTTTTATGAACTCCAGTTCCGTGCAGTAACGAGAATATGCATTGATCTGGGTGTATAAAGCCTTGTTTTACGTTACGATGTATTCGCGATTGAAAAAAATTCTCTGAACTCTCGAGACTGAATGTGTGTTGATATTAGTTGCTTGGCCATCCATATGTTAGTGAGACTGCTAAATCATGACACCGCAATCGTTTTTGAAAAAGCGAAATTAAGAATGGAAAAAGTAGAGAGGAAGAAGTCGCCGATGACAATGCCTAATTGTTTCTCTAAGGTTGGTTTAATTTGTTGAATATACACTAAGCTGGGCCTAGCCTAGTAGTAATACAGTCTACAGAGTAACCTACATAGGCTAGGCCTATTCATTGAATAGCTCCACTGTTTCGTTTTCGGCCAAAACGACCAGGGTTACGAGGCCGCAAGTCCGCTGCAAACGACCCAGGCTAGGCCTAGCCTAGTTTGTCTTATAAAAAGAAAATGCTGGGGCCCTGTCAGCTATGTAGCCTGGCCCAAAATGCTATTCTATAAGTTAGCCTACTTTACTAATACTAGCGACGTACTACTTACTAGGCCTAGGCCTACTACTGCTGGCTAGGCCTAAACTACTACTAGTCTCCTAGGTCTAGGCTTAATTAGGGTTAGGCCTACTAGGCCAACTGCTCCTAGTTAATAGCTATGCCTAGAAATAGAGGCTAGGCCTACACATATTCAATTAAAATGCTCTCATTGAAGGTTTTCCAGAAATTTAACTTCTTTTTTTTTTGTTAAATGTTATCTTCTTTATGATTCCTTGTTTTACAATACTTCCATTGTTTTAAATTCCACCCATTCACTTGACAGGCCTAGCTTTGTGTGTGCATTTTTCCCCTGATTTTAATACAGTAATACTGACATTATTTTAATATTACTAAACTGAAATTACAGTACCTTATTTATTCAAATAAATGTCTTGTTTATTGGAATAAATACTGTTATTCAATAGGGTCATGAAAAAGTGCACTCTTTGTACACTTGTGAAAATGTTGATAATTGTGAAGGACCCCTAAGCCTATGTATGTGAAGAAAATACAAAATAAATTTGTGTAAAAGGACAGGAATTAAACTTTGCAATGAGCTACAGTACAGTACTAGCCCAGTTGAAAGTGAGCTACTGTACATTCCTTCATTGTTAATTCTTCACTAACATATGACAAATTTCAAATATGGAAAGAATTGCTGCTGGAGCTCCCCTTTCAACAATCAACCATACTACAGTACTGTGTGAGAACCAGACGTACCAGACATATATTTCCACAATGAATCACACAAAACAGTGTTCTCCCCAGGGCAATAAGCTGTAACGCTGTTACAGCTTCATTCAGAAAACAAGTTTACCGTTACAGCTTCATTCAGAAAATAAGATACCGTTACAGCTTAAATTTACTGATACACCTTGTAGTTTGACTGGTAAATGTTCAGTTTATCAATTGTTTCTACACAAGCTGTACATATACAATTTCAAAATACAAGGGAAATGTACTCTATCTTTCCGTAAATTTGACATTAACCGAGGATAAACTGTAAGCCAGTAGCCAAAGAAACCACAAGTCTGTGCTCTTGCAACTCGTTTATTTAACATAAACAATGATGATACTACATGTTTCGCTGTGCTGTGCTTAGCCTACCTACTTACTTGTCTGACTAATTCCTACTTTCAAATGCATTGTGCCTACATCACTCTTTCTATTTAACCTTTTAAAACACAGTTTATTAGTTGTGTTCCATGTATACTCATGATGACATAGGTTTTTATGTGATCTATTTCTAAATAAACATCAACAACTTCGGACATTCTCAAGTCTAGGCAGTGGAATTTGGCCCTCATCCAAAAAAGCAACAACAATCACCCACCAGTGGCACTAGGTGAAAGGTCGACCATGTGGCTTTCTCTCGTGCGTAAATTTTTTCTTAAACTTGCTTTCTAATTTATCTAAATTATTATGTCTACACAGTAATAGAAAAATTTCTAAACAATAAAATGTTTATTAATTGTTGTTTTATTTCTTTAATGAATTATTATTAACATATTAGTAGTACATGCAAATTTGCTATGTCAAAAAGGCTTACCACACACTGCCACATATGTTTGGCTGTGGTATCTTCTCAGTCTATTGTCATGATAACTAAATGACAAGCTCCTGATAAGGTATCTCTTTGGTGGTTTGAGCAGAGTTTGAGATCGTTTCAAGAGATACCTAGGCCTAGTTTTTTTGGTGCAGTAGCCTATAACTTAAGTACAGAAAATAAACTATAGCAAGATAAAAACATACACAACTGAATGGAAAATTTCATTTAGGCCAATAATTAATTCAACTGAAAAATTTAATTTCCAAAAATCAAAACATTTATTAAAAAAAATATATATAAGTCACAGTCTCAAGTGCATATACTTTGCTATGTAAATAACATTTTATTATTAACTATTATTACAATTTTAAAAATAAAATCCCTTAAAAGTAATAAAGTAATATTCTGGCTGGGGAAGAACTATACATTTCAATTAGTCTATCACCTTATCTAGGGTAGAAAAGTGATGAGGGAGGGGAGGCTGACTTTTTTTTAAATTTAATTTTGCTAAAGCCAGATATAACCCTTGGTTTGTTTGCTGGTGCATTGACATTCATGTAAAACATGATTGAGGTAGTACAAACAACATACTAACTATTTAATTTAAAAAAATGAAAAAAATATATTTAAAAAAATCAATATACCATAAAATACAATTTTTTTTTTATTGGGCCTAATAATTAATTTTATGACCTCAAAGCAGGATTAATACAACTGCTACAACCGTGGAATATTATGCGCCGAACGAGGTGTCGCCGCGCGTTTTCCCATTACACCTTAAAAAAATCCTGGGGAGAACACTGAAACATATGACATCAAATATTTTTAAAATGCTATAAAACATGGCTATTACATTTATGTGGGGAGGCCTTGGTCATTAGATTAGCAGGTTTAATCACTTGGTTTTTTAGGCAAGGCACTGCATCTCTGTTTACCCGGTAGAATAAATGGGTAACTAGTAGGATGTGAATAACTTCATATAAAATTGGTGCTGAGTTAGCTGCACAACTAAATATATTCACTAGGAAACAGACAGTTTTGAACTTATTATTAGTCTCTTTTGTGGAAGCGGTTGGCGCATCGGTTGTAGCTTGGACTCCCAACCTCGAGGTCGGGGGTTCGAAACTCTCGCTGTGCAGATCGCTTGTGTCCTTGGGCAAGGCACTTTATCTACGATTGCCTCTTTCCACCCAGGAGTACAAGTGGGTACCTGGTAGGTTCTAACACAACTGCGCTGATTACTAGCTGCAATATTATGGAATGATAATATAATTTAATTTAATAATTTAATTTGGTGTTAAGTATGTGTTCCATATGTGTTTGATCCAATGACAGGGGGAGTAATGTGAAGCGCTTAGAAGCTTTGTGCATGAAGCGCTATATAAGAGCGACATATTATTACTTTAGCATGTGATAATTTGATTTCAAATTTTTTTCTCTGTGATATATGATATAAATATTTAAATTTATACCTACCAAATGCAACGGGTGACTCCATCATCAGCACTATTTGTTGCATTACTCAGTGTGCTCACATTGGAACTATCAAGAAATCCATTGAGTTTCTTTGAAGGTGAAACAGGCTGCAGCTTGGGTGGGGGTGAAGCAGGAGGAGTTGGTGGTGGTGGTGCTCCATAATTATGATCCTGGGGGTAACACAAGTCTCAACAAATTTAATGCAGCAGTACAAGGGCATCAATTACTTAACACATTCGTTCCCAGTATCCCATGGTATCTAGTCATCACCTGATACTATTATTAATCTTCTGAAATAAGCTACACGTTTTAAGGATTAATTTTAATATACAGCAAAACAATATATGTGGAAATATTAAATTTTATTTTGATTTTATTATATTCACCATACTGATATGGGTACAATTGCAACTCATTAATTATCAATACTTTTAGAAAAAACTTGTTATTTGAGGTAAAAATAATTAATAAATGTCATTCCAGGAGGGATATGTCAAGTTTATAATCTATTGTAGTGTAAAAGAAATTTGCACGAAGTTTAAAAGAGGTCGGCTAATACAGTACCAGCGGGCAGTATGGTAACTAAGTTCATTTTTCAATAAATAAATGCTCCTAGTCGACAAAATGTGGAGATACATTTAAGTTGTCCTTAGACGGTAATTGTAATAGAGACCAAAAATATGGGGCATTATTATGTAACTGGTGCTATTCTTAAAGCCAGTGGTTTAACAAAAACTCCTGGTTTCCGTGCCTAAGACTTTTTTAGGTCCTATTACCCTGGGGGCTAGGTCCGAGTAGAGCCCAATGGTGAACTACGGAAAACCCCTACTGTACTTGGCGTTTTTTGACGTTTAAAGAGCGTTTTTTTTTTTTAATGTTTTTAAAGGCTCAGTTAATTTGAAACAGAATGAAATTGAGAATGAACATCTTAGAATCCCTTATTAAGGTCATAACTGTTGCAACTTGCAACTGCTTAAAACAGATTGGCCTAAATAATTTGGATTTAGTCTTAATGGAGTTTTTCAAAAACAAAGCAGGTAGTTGAACACGAAGCTCCGACTACAGTTCAAAATTCCAGTTCACTGCATGCATCAAGTGTCACTGTATGTGTGTCTCGGTTGGCATTTTCATTGCAACTTCTGTATATGTGAGGCATGTTGTTGCAAAATGGCTAAGTTGTAGCAAAAATTGAAATTCAAGTTATTGGTATTTTCAGATACCAGAGTATGTGATCTTTAAAATGAGGGGTCATCCAATGAAATTGGACATTTAAAGCATAAGTTATTGGAATGTGAAAGTACAGCACTCTTAGAGTCAAGATAAACATGATTTTGAGTAATTGCCTTCCAAAGTTATTTGTGCATACATTGTTTAATAGAATTAACTATCTAAATAATGTTAAATAAACGATTTGTTTACCACTTCCAGAACTAATACTTTGGGACATGGTTAATAAGACATTAAACTGTTGATCTATAGTGAAAAACAAATTTGGATTTTTTTGGCAATTTTTTGAGCTCCCATATTTTATAGCTCATTTCCTCAATACTGGCCTGTGCGACAACTTAACCATTTCGCCACGACATGCCTCATATGTTCTTTTTGATTGATTACCAGGGTAAGCCACACAAAAAATTGGAATAAAATTCAGTACAAATTCTTCCACTTATACACGAGGATTTACATTAAAAGTTTTAAAACACTTCTTGACTTACCTGGTAAGGTAAGCCAATATAATGGGAGTGATGTAGATTGGCAGGTGTGTGGTTAGATGGCTGGCTCTGGGTTTTTGCATCTCCAGTGGCAACCGGGTCTTCAACAGCTTCAGGACTGGAGAGAAAACCAATACTGTAATTACTAGAATCTTTAAACAGAGCTTTATTCATTAGAAATTAAAGATTGTGAAAAGAAATTCTACTAGACATAATTATAATTCTAGATTTTTTAAGAATACATTAAAGAAAAAAAAAACTTTAGAAGGGGCAGTGTTCTCCAAATTAAACATTTTTCACTGGTAATTTGTTCATATAAAGCCTGCCATTTTCATGTGGGTCATGTACAGTCATAGCCATGGCCTATACTGTAATTTTAACAAAAAAGTCTAATCATTACAGTACAAAGCTCTAGATTTTATTTTACATGTATGTCTGGGTTATTCTTTGAAGTCTGGTCATGGGTATTTTTTGGCGCATGTGTCACAAATGGCAAAATCGGCCTACAGTATTTCAACAGCCATTTTAAAACATCACCTCAAAAAAGTTAATGTACTCATATTTTACTATAATACAGTTAATTTGAGAAAGTATAATATATAAAAGCCGATATTGAGCTAATAATATTATCTAAACTACTTTGAGAATTAACTAAAATTTATATTAATAATTGAAAATGAAAATTTAACTCTCACGCACCATACTGTACAGATAAAGGTCTAAATCTAATAATAAAATTTATACTTACTCTGATCCTGCAGCCATAGTTGCATAGGGGGCGCTGTCTGCAGCTGTTGCTAGTAGGTTTAGTGTTATACTCATCACGCATTTGTTGACCATTGTTGAACTGGCGCTGGGGTAAGGTTGCTAAACTTTACCCCTGGATCAAAGGACATGGCTACCTTTGCAGGTGAGTAGTTAGCTGAAGAGAAAGAATAACAAATCAGGCCTTAACATTAACAAAAAAATAAATTTAAAAAATAATACCTATGCAAATCTTGACATTGAAGACAGATTGGATGAATGGTCAGAGATTTTTTTCTAAATAACAAAAATACCAGTGGTATTGCATGGCAAAAAAATAGGCTCCCATCGGGAGCGTGTTTTTGTTTTTTTAATTTTATCTTATGTTCTTCAATATGCAGATGTGTGTATATTGTAGTGTATCTAGATTTTTCATAAAAATTTTCTTTCCTAACAATATTCTGTATAGGCCTACTACTATATTGCACTAAACACGAAGACTACTACCATGTTCTAGTGGGCGTCCTTCAAATGACAGTAAAAAGCGTTCGTGGCGAACGTGTGCTGCGTCTCTATAATGCGTGTTCGAGTTTCGAACGCCATTCGATTGTCAATAGAGCGCCCCCTACCTTGTGGTAGTAGTACCCATCATGCCTAAACAGGATTTACCCTTTTCCGCTATCTTTCATTGCTACATCATGACATAGTGTCTACACCCCTGTTGGGGGCAGTAGACACAAACGTGACCATAACACTTGTTCAAGAAGATGACAATACACCATTAAAAACATTCTACAGTAATATTATTATCATACCAACCTATTAAAGATACACTTCAGTAAGGATGGTTAATTCTAGGGGAAAATCGGCAAACTTCTTATTAACAATGATAAAATAAATAATGATTAATTTGGAATTGTTAAAAGCGCATAGAGTTTTAGATATGCGTTGCTAGTTTCACGTAGAGTATTTCACTGTGTGTTTGCTAATTCTGCACTACCAGATGTGTATAAGAGACAGAAATCTTTTCTTTTTTTAATTAATAAAATACAATGGTCATACAGTAGGTCTACTAATTTTAACATAGCATACTGTACATCTGTCTAAAGCTATTGTAAATATTTTGAAAAAAAATTATGTTTTAATTTTCCTTAATTATTATACTGTAATGTTAACAACATCAAGATGAAATTCTGAATTTCATGTTTCTGTAGTACAATACGACAAAAAAGATACTGATATCTACTACAAACAGAGTGGATCTTTGACAAGCAGAGAGTGAAAATTAAATGTCAAAGAAAGATTTTAACACTTTTTTTGGACCATTTTATACTGAAACCTTTGAAAAAATGTCTGTTTCGCTATGCGCGATACTCAATCAATTCAGACAACGAACTCGAATTGCCTTTAGTCTACACTTTTAATTCTGAAAGAAACCTCGGCTCGGTATAATCAGTAGATTCGAAAATCTACAAAACAACAACAATTATATTATTTAGATTTTTTCCAGTATAACTATTACATGTCATGTGTAACCAAATAATCAATACCACATACTGTATTAATCTCAGCATAAAATCCTAACTGCAATGGTAAAACTCGTGTGCTTATATCGTACATAACAAAGCCCTAACTATCTACATAAAGTAACTCCGCCCACCCCTCATTATAATGAGGGCGCTACATAGCGATTAGCTCCTAATGCACATGTGCACAACGGCCGTGTACCACTATCATTTGTTTCTGAAATCTAGGCTATCTACAGAGTATTTACTTATTTATTAATCAATAATCACTAACAAGCTAAAGTTAACAGTAATCATTCATTTATAATCATAACACTGGAAAGCAATCAACTGCTTGGTAATCAGATCTTATTGCATAGCAACGTAGAACTATGACAGTTCGTTCGAGCCAAACAACCCGCTAAAATTAACTGACGCTCAACACGGCGCCTAGTGCTGTCAAACTTTTTCCTTCCAAAACTCTAGTGATTCATGAAAACATTCATTTCTAACTAGCTCACTTTGTTCTATAATCTTTACTCAACCAAACAATAATATGGTTATTATGTACTTACACTTTAGTGTCTCTTAAATGAACTGAATTGCGAAAGCGAAATACAAACACATCATGGCTCCTGCACGATGTATATAGTAAACAAATTGTTTCCTAACAAGAGGTGGCGTCCTTCAATTTCGGCATACCGAAACAATGTCTTCCATGCCAGTACTAATACGATATTAATAGGTGCATAATTCAACTACTGTATTGTAACTACCCATTTGCCACATATCTTTCCTAAAATAATTTTGTGGTTCAGAGTTCAAGGTGTTGTTATTTGTTGTAGGATTTACAACATGTATGCCATACAATGTGATAGAAATTAAAACATGGGGTCATTAAAACAATATACTGTACTATACTCATTATTTTTTTATTAAATTTATTTTGATTACCGAGTACTTTATGGCCAAATAAAATTAATTGCTAGTTTCACGTAGAGTATTTCACTGTGTGTTTGCTAATTCTGCACTACCCTAGATATGGTACACTAGCTATTGTAGCATCTTGTGACTATCAACCAATAGTCTAGAAGTAAAATTTCCCTTGTAGAATGCCGATATACTGCACCAAAATTTTTTTAAATTAAGTATGTACTTTTTTACAGTTTAAATACAAATGGATTTACAATAGGCTACTTTAATAAGGTGGCCAATCAAAAACACTGGCAGGCAACATTTGGCCTTGCCTATGGAAGTTTATTGTACAGGTATACAGAAAAGGATACAAAGGGAATTGTTGAGCTAGAGTTGGTTGCCTATTCACATGTAGATACATAACGGCTACTTTTCTGCTTGGACAAGCAGCAAGACTATGCATTTTCAATACCTAGATTCTTGACTATTGTACAAACTACAATTCATTCAATACCACTGTACTAGCAAAATCAGTTATGTATGAATACTAATTCACTTGAAAAATGTCTGAGTTGTCATATACAAAGAAATTTATCTAAAAAAAAATCATTCCTCAAAAAACAACTTTGCAAACAAACTTAAGAAAGACTACTTCTGGGAAGCAGCAAATATTCACCAACTTTAAATATTTTGTTATATCATTTAATTCAACGTTCTCTACTAAAAAATATGATCAATGAAATGAGTCATCATACTATAAAGCATGTCTGCTGCATTATGGGAAGGAAAATAATCATGACCTCCAAATGGCATTTGAATATGGTCATCATCATAATATGATAACCCCGGTCCCCACCATATAAAATAATCTACATTAGGCCTATATTAGAAAAAACGAAAAAAGACAGAAAAAGAAAAAACAAAGCAGCGTATAGACACAAATTATAAATAGTTCACCCTGACTGCAGTACGATCATTCAGGAAAATGCATTCAACCAAAGAAAAAAGTATCCCTAAAATAATAGAAACTTTTGGAGTTACCATATTCAGTGGTGGCACCAATGAGGGAAAAGGGAGTGAGGGGAAAAGCCTCTCCCCTTGAATATTCTATTCAACCACCATGATAAAAATTGGTTAGTGGTAGGTAAAGAGAAAATAATCTCTACAGTATCCTTGGAAGGCCAACTGCCCACCATTAGTGTATACAAAATGAGCATCACTTTAATAATACAGGTATTAACCATCCATTATTAATTATATGATTTTTGACATTGATATTTTTGTTGTTTCAATTTAATTTAATTTTAGATTTATCACATAAATCCAAGGCTTCCAATTCTCCTTGAGTCACAACAGTCTCATGAAATTTGGCATGGGTCTCCCATCGTCCCATGAGGAAACAAAAATCTCCAGGAAACTGTGTGGAATGTTCCATTTTGTAGCAGGGGCATTCCACAGCAACACAACATGAATATTTTCATATTCAATTTTGTACAGTACATTAAATTTGGCCAATTCATAAAGTAAAATTATATTTTTTTATTTTCACGGATACCTCAGAATTTAATTAGTATTTAATACTAGAAATGTAAATTTTACGTCATGGACATTACATTAATAATTCTATCATATTTTTAACAAAATTAATTTTTCAAAACCTCTTAGTGGAATACAGTATAGTTATACAAATTACCCTTTACTATTTATCATGTTTATAAAAGATTTCGTTTTGTATAAATATTTAACATAAAAATAACGCTAAAAAGAAAAGATTGACGTTTCAACTCCTTCATGGTGTCATTTTCAAGATCAAATGATGAAGTAAAAAAATATACAGCAACTATAATCAATAGAAAAAAGCTAATCTACAATGTCAAAGTTCATAAAAGTTTACTGTTATGAACTTTGACATTGTAGATTAGCTTTTTTCTATTGATTATAGTTGCTGTATATTTTTTACTTCATCATTTGATCTTGAAAATGACACCATGAAGGAGTCGAAACGTCGATCTTTTCTTTTTAGCGTTATTTTTATGTTAAATATAAAAGATTTCTTTAAATTTTAATTTCATAATTGTTGTCTCAAACAGTAAATGTAAGTCTGTGACATTTTGAGTGACATTTAAAAAAATTTATTACAGATGTAGTGCAATTACTGTATATAATTAAAATTTCATATTCTCTTTTACAATAAATCAATAATCAAATAACATTTTTTCACAAAAATAATTAATTTTTAATAATTTTCATATTATATTTGTGTCACGAACACTACATTTTGTTACGGACATTACACTTTACAGTAGATACATGTTAGTTAGAAAAAACTTGTGCTTCTGTGAAAGAAGAAAAATAGCAGGGTTTTGAAGTATCTTAAAGATGGATAAATATTCATTAAAACAACATGCAATATGATCAGTGTAAAAGTATAGGAAAAGGAAACGTAATTTATTTATTTATTTATTTTATTTATTCAGGTATAAAAAGACTCAAAATACAATTCAAGATTGAAATGAAGAGCTTACATAAAATCAATGAAGAAAAATACAGAAAAATAAAACCAGCAATAAACATTTGAGAAAAAAATTAAAATTACAAAAAAATTTAATTATTTATTATTTACAATATTAAAATATCAATCAGCATAAATTGATTAATTCAATCAATTAATTAGAATTTTAAGTTATTAATATATACAAATTTCATTAAAAACAGTTAACAGTCATAGCCCTATTCGAACAATTACATTACACATTAA